CCCTTTGTCTCACTGGGTATAAAGCAATTATATTCCTGGAACATTCTTGTTCAATGCAATTGTAACATATTTTCTTAACTATGATCAGTAGAGGATATTAAAGCTGTGATTTCTGAGTTTCACAGCTTATTCAATAAATGCTGGTCCGAACCAGCATCACCTCTCAAAGGGTTCCTGTTCTAGCTTTTTCTGAAGATAGTGAGGGGAAAAACCAACTCAAACATAGATCCGTGCTCCTAGACCTTCACCACACAGGTCATTTCTGACATCAAACGTAGGGTTTCGGGTTCCCGACACCCCAGTCATGGTTCCTGGGTCTCCCGGCACACCAGGTAGTTCTGGACTTGAGTGGTGAGTCTTGGTGTCAGACCTCCCAGGCTGAGGGCTTGACCCCCATGCGGACCCAGTCACACATGCCAGGTGGTTTCAGCTGTACACGGGGGTTCCCATTGCTTCCTCCGTGGGGGTCAATGGATTTGCTCACAGAGCAAGGTTACTGAAGCCAGGGAGGCTCCTGAATTTCATGGCTTTGTATGAGGATGTTATACAGCACACACAGGGGAGGTGGCAGGGGAGGTAAGGTGGGTGACAGGCTTCCGGGCTCTGTTGGTGCTCAGTGTCTCTGACTCCGTTCCACAGGTGTGGCAGGAGCAGGGACGCCCATCAAGTTGGTGCCTGGGCCCAGGCAGCCGACCGAGTGCCAGCATCTGGAGTCAAGCTAGCGTCTAGCGGCCTGGCCAGATTCTTGGTGTTTTTGCATCTCTTCCTCCTTCCCAGGAAGGAGGCAGGGGCTCATGTGAGACTGGGGTGGGAAGACAAGGTAGGGAGAGAATTTCTCCAAGACCAAAAGGCGGGGGAAGATGAGTGCTTCTGTGACCTGTCTTAGGGAAGAGAAATTCTCTTTTCCATAGCCTGGGGAAGGGTAACCAAAATATGCTGCCATCATGTCACCTCCACTTGGCACAAGGGAGAACCCTGCAACCCTGCATTCCCTCCTTGAACGTCTCTCCCAATCCCAAAGGTCAATGTGAGGGGCTTTGGCCTTTCTTCGCCATAATGGTAGCCACTTTCTCAGTGAGGTGTTCTCACCAGACCTTTTTCCTCTGCTAGCTTCCATTTCATTTTCTTATCTCCTTCTTTTCGTGTGTGTGTGTGTGTGTGTGTGTGTGTGCGTGTGCATGTGTGTGCATGTGTGTGTTGGTACTGAGTCTTGAACTCAGGACCTCCTGCTCTTAGCTTTTTCACTCAAAGCTGGTGCTCTACTACTTGAGCCACAGCTGTACTTCTGGCTTTTGGTGCTTAACTGGAGAGTTTCTCAGATTTGTCTACCTGGGCTGGCTTGGAACTGTGCTCAACCCCCTGATTATCTGACTTTGCCCACAGTTCTGGTTACCACCCAAAGGTACCATCACCCTTCAGGATCTACATTCTTACTTCCTGTCTTCTTCCCTGTAAAAGCTGGAACCTCAGAGGCTGGTAACCAATGACTCTGAACCTGTGCTTAGAACCCTGTGCGCTCACTCCTCCCCAAGCTGCTGCCCTTCCCCTGTTCCCCCACCTCCCCGCCTCCCCTCCTCCCCCCAGGATGTTTGAAGGAAAGGGAGGAAGGAACGCATGAAGAAGCTCTGCTTCAGGTTTGGGGAGACATAGGTGGAGAAGAAAGGGGCTGACCCAGGGGCTTGGAGAAGTAAAGAGATGACCTTCTCCTGAGGAAATGAAGGCCAGCGTCCGGTGGCGGGTTGAAGTTAAGCTAAAAGGGGAAAGAGGAGCCCATTGGTAGCTTCTATTTTACTCAGCGCTCATGATACACATGAAATCTGCTTGGATAACTCCCTCCTCCTTTCCCTGATGGTGCTGGGGCTTGAACTCGAGTCTTGTGCTTGTCAGCGCTCAACCACCGAGCCATACTCTTAAGACCTTGTGTTTGCTATTTATTTGAATAGTCTTGAAGTTTTGCTCAGCCATTTCTTTTTTTTTTATTTATTTTTTTATTTTTTATTTTTTTTATTTTGCCAGTCCTGGGGCTTGAACTCAGGGCCTAGGCACTGTCCCTGAGCTTCTTTTGCTCAGGCTAGCACTCTACCACTTGAGCTACAGTGCCACTTCCAACCTTTTTTTTTTTTTTTCTATTTATGTGGTACTGAGCAATCAAACCCAGGGCTTCATGCATAGTAGGCGAGCACTCTACTACTAAGGCACATTCCCAGCCCCATCACAGTGATTTTTTTTTTAATTATTCTTTTTTTGTAATCTTTTTTACTTTTTTTTATTGTTATTATGAAGGATATATAGAGGGGTTACAGCTACATAAGTCAGGTAATGAGTACATTTCTTTTTTTTTTTTTTTTCTTTTTGCTTATGTGGTGCTGAGGAATCGAACCCAGGGCCTCATGAATGCAAGGCAAGCACTCTACCACTGAGCCACCTTCCCAGCCATTGCGCAGCCATTTCTAAACTAGGATATTTCCATTTAACTTCCTGAATCACTGAGATGCCAAGCTTTTTTATTGGTTGAGATGGGAGGGGGATGGAGTCTCATGACCTTTTGAGTCCAGGCTGGCTTTGAACCATGATCCTCTTGATCGGCCTTTGGAGTTACTAAGATTACAGCTGTGAGCCACTATATTCAGCCCCGAGTTCCCTTTCCAAATCATCCTAGCATAGTGGTTGATGTGTGTGTGCCCTAGGGCTCAAACTCAGGGACTGGGCGCTGTCTCTGAGCTTTCTTTGCTCAAAGCTAGTGCTCTACTACTTAAGCCACAGCTCCACTTCTGGCTTTTTGATCCTTAATGGAGGTATTTTCTTGCTTGGGCTGGCTTCAAACCTCCATGCTCAGGTCTCAGCCTCTTAAGTAGCTAGGATGACAGGTGTGAGTAATGGGTGCTGGCATAGTTGTTCTTTGATGTGCTCATTGTTCTGTGGATTGGGGTTGGATTTATTTGGTCATTTGCAAGGAAGGGTTAAAAATACATGTTTATGTATGAAGCATGGTAGTACTGGTTTTAGATGAGTTTTGTTGACTGGAATAACAATTTCCATCTTCTTGCTTTTGTCATTGGGTACAGGTTGGCATTATACAAGCTAACCCGTCCATAGGCTGCCTGAGGGAACATGCTCTGAGGATGTAGACACAGCCCAGTGCGGGTATGGACCAGCCAGCAGAGATGTGGATGCTACAGGTGCTGCTCACACAGTGCACAGGCTCACACTGTCTACAAGCTCACACTGTGTGTACAAGCTCACACTGTGTGCATAGGTCACACCGTGTACAGGCTCACACTGTGTAAAAGCTCACACTGTGTGTACAGGCTTATACTGTGCACGGGTCACACTGTGTGCACAGGCTCACACTGTATACAGACTCACACTGCACAGGCTCACACTGTGTGTACAGGGTTACACTGTGTGCACAGGGTCACACTGTGTGTACAGGGTCACACTGTGCACAGGCTCACACTGTGTGTATAGGGTCACACTGTGTGTATAGGGTCACACTATGTGTATAGGGTCACACTGTATGTACAGGGTCACACTGCACAGGCTCACACTGTGCACAGGCTCACACTGTATACAGACTCACACTGTGCACAGGCTCACACTGTGTGTACAGGGTCACACTGTGTGTACAGGGTCACACTGTGTGTACAGGCTCACACTGTGTGTACAGGGTCACACTGTGTGCATAGGCTCACACTGTGTGTACAGGGTCACATTGTGTGCACAGGCTCACACTGTGTGTACAGGGTCACACTGTGTGCACAGGTCACACTGGGTACAGGTACAGGTTACTCTGTGCACTGGTCACACTGTGTGCACAGGCTCACATTGTGCAAAGGTCACACTGTGTGCACAGGCTCACACTGTGCACAGGTCACACTGCATTGATCACACTGTGCGCGCAGGTCACACTGTGCGCAGGCTCACTCTGGGTGTTCGAGTCCCGGTCATGGTTGGAAGGACTGGCGGAGGGAGACTCCGTCCCTGGTCCATCTGCGGAAGCAGAGCCGGTGCCTGCGGGGAGGTGGCGGTTTGCACAGGACGCCCGGGAGGCCAAGTGTGTTCGCTGCAGACTGGAGACCCCGGGACTGCCTGGAAGGGGCGGCCGGGCCGGCGGGGGTCAGGGGTCGGGAGGCAAGGAGGGCGGCAGGACGTGGGGGGGGGGGTCAGGGGTCAGAAGGCGGCCAGGCCGGGGGTCAGGGGTTCGCAGGCGGGGAGGGCGGCCCGGGTACCCCGCGGCCCGCACGGTCCGGCGGCCGTGTCCGCACGACCCTCGGGTCCGGAGACCGTGGGCGCCGGGCCTTCAATAATAACGACTGCGGCGACCACGACACTGAAGCCACGCCGGCGGCCGCCGGGGACCAGACCCCCTCCTCCCTCCCCCCCCCCCCCCCCCCGGCTCCGACCGCCGGCCACGCCCCTCCGGAGTCCCGGGCCTCGGGCGGCGCCTCAGCCGCCGCCGTCGCCACCTCCCCTGGCCGCCGTTCCCCGCTCCCCTGCCCGCCGCTCCCCGCTCCCCTCCGGCCCCTAGCCGCTCCCCCGCCCGCTTGTAACTTCTCTCCGAACTTCAGTCATCCTAGTGCCCGCCTCTCCACCCTCTCGCCCAATCGGAGCGCCTCCTCCTCGCCTAGGGCCCGGCCCCTGCGTGCCGGAGGCCAATCCCCGGCGCGCGAGCGTGGCGAGCAGGGCCGGCTCCCGGGCTCCGGGCCTGTGACGGCAGCGCGCCGGGCGCCGCTCGGCGGGAGGGGGCGGGCCGGGCTGAGGGAAGGGCGCGGGCGGCCGGCGCGGGGAGGCGGCGGCGAGGCGGCGGCGGCGGCTGCTGCGGTGGGTTTGAAAGCGGCAGTCTCCGGGCGGCGCGGGCGGGCGGGTGCCGCTCTCCGCGCCCCGGCTCCGCGGCTCCGGGCCCCACCGCGGCCTCTCCCGCCGCCCGGGCCGCCGTCGGCGCGCCCCCCCCTCCCCGCCCGCGGCGGCCTCGCGGCCCGGCGGCGCCCATGCCGCGGCGCGCTGGAGATGTCGCGGACGCTGCGGAGGAAGCGACACTGGCTGAGCAAGGTGCAGGAATGCTCGGTGGCCGGGCCCGGGCCCGGCGCCGACCTGGGCGCCGAGGTGCGCGGCGGCGCCGAGCGCGGCGAGTTCCCGTACCTCGGGCGGCTGCGCGCGGGCACGGGCGCGGGCGGCTGCGGCGTGGTGTCGGGCCGCGCGCCCAGCCCGGGGGACGTGCTGCTGGAGGTGAACGGCACGCCGGTCAGCGGGCTCACGCTGCGGGACACGCGCGCCGTCCTTCGCCACTTCCGCGAGCCGGTGCGCCTGCGGACCGTCAGGCCGGGTAGGCTGCGGGGATGCGGGGCGGCGGGGATGCGGGGCGGCGGGGATGCGGGGATGGACGACGGGGCGCGGCGGCGGCGGCCCGGCCTTCCCGCGCCTCCCCGGGAACCCCGGCCGGCCCGAGGGCGGGGAGGCGCGGCTGCTTCCCATCTTGACTATCGGGAAACCTGAGGCCTGCGCGGCGGCCCTCCGACGGGAGGGCGGGGGTCGCGGGGTGCCCGCCGGGCCGCCCGCGGGCGGGGCGCCTCCTCCCCGCCGAGCGCTCTGGCTCTGGAGGAAAATCCCCGCGCCGTCCCCTCACTTTGCTCTTTTCCCAGCCCGGGCGCTGACCCCCGGCCTCTGACCCCGGCCTCCCCGGGCACAGCCCGGCGCCCGGCCCACACGGCTGTCAACAGCTCTGGTCTGTGGGGCCGCGGTTGGAGGAACAGAGTGCGCGGTGCGCGTGTAACACACCCACAGCCTCCGGGAGCCGCTCGGCCCCTCCGCCACGCCCGGGTCTGGCGGATGGCGTTCGAGACGTTTCTAATCCGGATCGCTCACGGGGGGCGCGTCAGCCCAGCGAGGCTCCCTGAGACACACGTGAATACAGTCGCAATACACGTAAAATACACGTGAAATAGACTTAAAACACACAAACCACACGCGAGCACACTCAAAACATGTAAAACACACAAAACACAAACACGTGAATATACTCAAATCACGTAAATACACGTGAAACATGTAAAACACACGCGAAATACACGCAAGCACGGAGCACGGAAAGGGCTTGCCTCGGGCCTGAGCAGGTGGAGCATGGCTCCTGTTCCATAGAGGAGGAGGAAGGTGGGTACTCCAGATCGTTGTGACTTCTTTTTGTTGCGCCTTCAGATTAGTTTGGTGCCAAGTCACACATATTTGCCCTTCACATAAGATTTAAGACAGCGTGTCAGGTAGTAGAGTGTGTGCAACGGTGTGAACTACATCAGATACGCTTCCTGTAGCCAAGACTGCAGTTGGCAGTCTGCAGTAAAACGTTGCTTTCTTGGCAACCAGAAGAAACTGTCCCTCTTCTAATAGGACAGAGGGAATAACTTATAACTACATTCTGTAATAATGAATGATAATAGGCCTGAACACTCACATTTTTGTATGTATTGATGTTCGAACTCAGGGACTCTCTCTTACTTGGTAGCTGTTCTGCCACTTGAACCACACCTCCAGCTCTTGTTTTTGTTTTTGCTTGAATTTGGTGGTACTTTAAAGATGTACTCTGCCGCAGTAATTTCTAATGGATACCACTATATCTGTGTCATTTGAGATTACAGCTCTTGGTTCTAAGCAAGTTATAATTTAAAAAATTTTAATCTCATGTTAGATATTATATTAAATGGTTTTGCTTAAGAGCAATATTTATACTAAAATAGATTTTTTTCAGGCTATACATAAGGACTTAAATATTAGAAATTAAGAATTTGAGGCTATCTGTAGAACTTTGGGTTTTATTAAAAGCAACAGGTTACCTCTAGAGGAAATAAGAATCTGTACTCTTGTGATTCATTTGGACAAGGATGAAAATATGAATTTTAAGAAGAAATTTGCTCTACTCATTTTTTCCTTTTCTTTATCTAAACTATGAGATTTTTCAGTTTAAAAGGTATTACAAATTATACTTAACTCTCTTGACTAGTGACTGTTAACTGTACTTTCATAACATGTCATTTGAAATTAGCACAATTGAAGAGGAAAACAATCATTTCTGTGAGAGGTGAGGTTAATGGAATGATTTTATATTGTCCTCTGCCCAGCCCCTGGTGGAAGGATGGGCTGGGCTTAGGCTGTAGCTGCCCCCTCCCCCTTCTAACCCTCTACTGCCCATTCAGTCCTGCGATCGGAACCCTGCCCAAGCCAGTATCCCATGATTTAGGGAAGGTTCTTTCTGGCAATAGCTGTATTTAGCTTTGACTTAGAGTAGTTTCCCCCCCTTTTGTTATAATCTTTAATGGATCATTAAAAATAGCTCTTTAAAAACTTGGTTCCTATTTGAGGCTTTTCCTGAGAGATTGAGGGAGTTTATTGTTACAATACTACTATAGTACTTAACAGTACTTTTCTTGCTTTTAGAATAAATCTTTAGGTCTGCCTATTGCTTGACCCATTTAAACACCTGATTCTTTGTTGTTGTTCCTGGGTCTTTAACTCTGGGCCTGGGCATTGTCCCTCAGCTCTTTAGCTCAAGCTGAGCATTCTACTACTTGAGCCACAGCACCACTTCCAGTTTTCTGGTGGTTAATTGGAGATAAGAGTCTCATGGACTTTTCCTGATGGGGCTGGCTTGGAACTGCCATTCTCAGATCTCAGCCTCCTGCGTAGCTAGGATTACAGGCATGAACCATCAGTGCCCAGCTATTCACTTCTTAATATACCTTTAAATACACATTTCAGCAGTTGTAAGTTGTATGACTTGTTCCAGTTGAAGATTGAGCTCTGCTCTAGTCTTTAAGTGTGTGAAGACATCGCCTGCTTCTGTACTCTATCTAGGGATGAGAATCACAGGGAACCAGTGGTAGTTTGCTTTAAATGACATATAATTTTAACTGTTGGTAAAAGTTCCCTGTGAACTCTGGGACATCCAGTGTCTAGGGGAATTTTGTTTAAATGAAATTATTCCTAGAAACACATTCCCCTTTGGTTAAAAAACAAAACAAAACACCGTATTAGGTGCTTTAAATAAGGAATGTTTATAATATGCAAATAATGAAAACTGTCTTTTCACCTCTTGGGTCTTGTTGTTTTTTGGTTTAGTGACTAATTCAGGGCTTCCATGGGTTTTGTTGTGTGTTTGTAAAGTCTGAAGAAGAGAAGAGGAGAAATAAGAGTTAATTGCTAGCACATATCTAGGTTTGCAATGTCAGAAGTTATTGAATATCTTTTTTTAAAAATTAAGAATAAAACCAGATATTGGGCAGAGCAGCCCCCTTTATTAGGGACAATAGCGTGATAATTTATCATCTTTACATGAAAAGTCACCACTTTTCTAAATTTTTGTAATGTTATTGTTGCCACTCTAAAGGTCTTAAATACCTTTGTGACTCAGGTTAAGGATTCTTGATATGACATCTCTGGTCCGGGTCACAGACCTGTAGGAAAGAGGCTGCAGAGCTGAGCTGCTTAGATTTATTGACTTCTTGTATGTCATTAACATCTTTGTACTTAGCTTTTTTTTTTTTTTTTGGTGTCATTCTGTAGAGTTCTATGTCTAGATAACTTATAGATATCTCATATTTAATTTTGTTCACTTTTATATCTATGTGGTTGATCTAGACTTCTTACAGTTAAGTCTACTAAATTTCACTTACTTTTTGTTTTTGCTTTTGGGTGCTGATATTTGAACTCAGAGCCTCGGTTCTGTCCCTGAGCTTTTAGCTCAAGGTTAGCACTCTACCACTTGAACCATAGCTCCACTTCTGGCTTTTTTTTCCCTCCATGGTTAATTGGACATAAGAGTCTCAAAGATTCTTTCTACTCAGATTGGCTTCAAACTGTGATTCTCAGATCTCAGCCATTAGCCACTGCCACCCAGCTGTTTAAGTTTTTTGGGGTTTTGGGTGTTTTGTTTATTTTTTTTGGTGCCAGTCCTGGGACTTGAACTCAGCCTGGGTGGGCACTGTGCCTGAGCATCTTTTTGCTCAAAGCTAGTGCTCTACATCACTTGAGCCACAGCCCCACTTCCAGCTTTTTCTGAATAGTTTATTGGAGATCAGAGTCTCATGGACCTCTGCCTGGGCTAGCTTGGATCCAACATCCTCAGATCTCAGCTTCCTGAGTAGCTGGGATTACAGGTATGAGCCACTAGTGCTTGGCTGTAGAAGTATTTTTTAAAAATTACTGGCTCATGCCTGTAATCCTAACTACTGAAGAGATTGAGATCTAAGGATCAAGGTTCAAAACCAGCCCAGGTAAAAAAGTCCATGAGACACTTATCTCCAATAAACTACTCAGAAAAAGCTGGAAGTGGGGCTGTGACTCAAGTGATAGAGTGCTAGTTTTAAGCATAAAGAGGCTCAAGGCCCAGCCCCTGAATTCAAGCCCCAGGACTGGCAAAACAAAACAATAATTTCTTGTGATTTTCATGGAATTAACACACTTAACATTTGGCCTTTTCAATTTTCAGATCTTTTTTTCATTTTATTCAAATTATTACTAAAACTGATTTTTTGGAACATATAATCTTCATAACTTCCTATTAGAGAGAAATTCTGTTGCTTCTTAAAAAATCTGCTTGATACTTTATGTAAATCAATGGTATAACAAAATTTGGTATGGGTGGTAAGCTTTTCCATAGCTTTTCAGTAGCTTGGAGAAGAGACTTGTTTGTGAAGGAAGAGACAAATCCACAAATTGCTTTTCTGGTCCTTGAAGAACAAATACTATTCAGAATGCTTTCTGTGAAAAAGGTGCTTATTTTACTTTTACAGAGACAATGCCAAGTTGTATTACTGGGACACATTTCTCAACCAACACTTAGTGGTGCCCCCACAGCACATTGTGTCAAAGTGAGTCAGAAATGGTCTGGTTTCAAGAATCACAGAACTTGGTGGAATACCACCTACCTGTAAGAAGGGCTTTAGCTTTTCCCACTTTCTCCCTCTATTTAAACCTCTCTAGATAAATTATACCATCCACTTCCAGAAAGATTGGCCCAAGTGATAGGTTGTATAGCATAATGTCCTATAAACGCTGGTGAGCTAGGGCAGGAGTCTGAGGTGAAAGGGGGTACGTAGGTGTACTTGAAGGATTTCGGTTCCTCAGAGGGAAACCAAATATAAACAAAACTATCTTTAAAAAAGCCCCATGCTGATCATAAAAACAGGTAGCATGAGTCTTCTCTGCCACTAGTATTGGAGTAATTCTCTATTTTGGTTTAATGCTAGATGAAGTAACTTGCTTATATTAAAAATAGTTTACCAAAACCATTTACCTTTTAATTCTAAGAAATTATTCCCAGCACCTATAAACAGT